AAAAAATAATTTACATATAGGTAAGTCTTGAGGCCCCTATATTAGGAAGCTGAGACAGACGGGGACACTGTCGGCCGATGATGACGGAGAGCCTGAATACTGCAGTTTGTTTAGGGTTTAGGGTTTAGGGTTTAGGGGTTAGGGGTTTAGGGGTTTTGGGGTTTAGAGTTTAGGGTTTCAGGGATTTAAGGTTTAGTCTGGGGGATTCAAGTTACGGAAAGTTAAAGCGCACACTATGGTCTAGGAGCCCAGTACTGCAAACATCAAATGCACCACACTTGACCACTATAGCTGTGATAGTTTAACTGATAATTCTTGCCTATTCTAAAACGGGCCAAAGCACACTGCATCGTTAGTCGAGCCCCAGCACTCTTAACCATAAGCCCTGAACCCGACGCCCTGCACCTTAATACTCCCTAAACCCTACCCTAAACCCGAAACCGAAATCCACCTACAAAGCTAACCCTAAAACGCTAAACGCTAGACCCCCAACCCTAAACACTCAACCCTAAATCCTAAGCCCCCAAACCCTAAAAACGCAACGCTAAATCCTAACCCCCAAAACCCTACACCATTGACCCCTTGCCCCCCGCATGTTCAGGCCAAGGCTTGCCACCATGCTCCGCGAAAGAGTCGATTTTACGCCTGGAGGCAAAGTCGAAACTGCGCGCGGGTAGGGTTTAGGGGATGTAATGTAGGGGCCTAAATAATTTCCAAAACTTTTTTGCTGGAAAAAACACCGGTCGCAGGTTCTGTTTACATCTTTGTAAATATGCGTTAAGCCTTTCATGTTTTGTGTGTTACACAGCTTGCGGTGGTCTACCGCTGCGCGAGGCTGATCACAACCAGTGCAGAATGTGATCTACAATGGCCAGTGCTGGTCGGTCAATGATTTATGTAGGGTTTGCGGATTTGTTGGGCGGTTGATGCTTCCACGACTTCACAGACTTCTTGGGCAAGAGCTGTGAAAAGGAAGGCATGGAGCGAATTATCATAATCAGGAATCAGAAGGGACCCTGCGAAACATCAGCTGCGAAGTGTAAAAAACCCAACTAACTCGGGCTCCCGACATCTAAACGGTTTTGTGACTCTTGTGCTCTCATCATCAACGAGACTCATGGTACTAATCACAACCCCTACTACTAAGGAAGATGTTTGCAGCGCCTACAACCCATGCACTGAAGCCCTCGACTTTCCAGCTTCCTTGCTGCAATCGAGATGTGGGGGCGCGGCAGACGGGACTGCGTTCCATGTTCACAGGTGGTGGAACACTCGGTCCACCTCGGAGGGTCAGACGATCAGCAGCAGCACGAGCGAAAGCATGCGTGATAGTGTTGGAAGTACTAGCAGTAAAGTGTGGGTGTAGGCGTAGTGGGAGGAGCTGGAAAAGCAAGAACTGCGTAGGAGGAGGAGGAGGAGCTCTTGAACAATGTCTGATGCGACTGCTAGTTCAAGTAGGACAACTACTAGTATTCATCACCACCTGCTATCACCACCAGCACCGCGACCTCCCACCATCATCAGCAACAGTGCCAGGACAAGCACCACCACGACGAGGACGCGACGACGTCCTTGCACTACCAATGGCACTCCGTGATCGACTTCAGATATGCATCCTTCACGCCAAACTCAAAGTTGTTGGAGCACGGGTAAGGTTATGTGCTAGCATCCCGAGTAGACAAGCGATCCCGGCAATGGCCAAGAAATGATGATGATGATGATGATGATGATGACGAGGAGAGCATAGGCATAAGCTTTGGCGTCGCCGCAGAGAGACGCAAATAACACAAACAAATATACTATTCGTTTCCAGCTGCTGAGAACCTGCTGAACCTGCTGAGCCAAAGTTTTCATAGCCCTGACTGCCCCATCACCTAAACACTTGTCGAGCAACGCCCCTGCCTAAATCCCGAAAGCCGGAAACTGTAAATCCTGCACCGCAGCCTCAAACCCAACACCTTGATCAATAGAACAGGGTTTCAGAGTATACTCTTGTATAACTAAACATTTGGGAACAATGATAATCTTACCAAGCCTAAACTCCTAAAATCGACTCTTGGGAGGCTCCGGCGTGCTCCATGGGGAGAACTGGCAGTCCTCGTACCAAGTTGTGCTCAGGGTTTCGGTTGAGGGTCTAGGGTTTGGGGCCTTTAGGGTCTTGGGTTTGGGGGCCTTTGGGGTCTTGGGATTTGAGCTGTTGGGTCTAGGGCTCTAGGGATTTTGGGGTCCGAGGTCTTAGAGTTCGCGCTTCGGGCAGAAATGTAGGGGCCTTCATAATTACAACAGGGTTTTGGGGTATATCATACGATAACTATAATAAGCGCCCGCTCACATTGAGCCGAAGGACGCAAGCTCCCGTCTTAAAAAGGGTTTAGGGTTTAGGGTCTTATATAGGCCTGTCCAATAAGCTCAACGCAGCATGCATCATCACAGGAAAGGAAGCTGGACGCTCTCGTGACACCCCCAAACTTACCCAATTACCTTACCATATAGGGTACTGGAGCCCCTAGGGCCCTATATAGTAGGTACCTGGGGGGTTAGGGTTATCCTGTGAAGGCTTCTTGATACATCGCATGTGAGTTCATCTTGGAGAGCCTTTCGGAGCCCATTGTACATTATACAAGCTATCAAGGCTAGAAATCTACCTTAAACTGGAAGCTGTGGCGCCTTCTTGTTTCCCCGTCTCTGACCGATTTGTACTTGACAGTTCGACTTCGTCGAGCTGTGACTTGTCTTATCTCAGGAGATGAAGACAAAGGTTTGTACAATGTGACACACTTGGCCTCTGCCTCAAGAAGATGGGCCGATGGTCGTAGGGTTTAGGGTTTAGGGTTTAGGGTCGATGGTCGTAAGGGTCTTGCTGCTGGTAGGAGTGCGTCCGGGACATGGCTCTTCGCCGCTTCTTCCAAGTACATGGGTGGTTGTCAAAGTTATGGTCTCTTTTTGGGTCCGTAATATAATACGGCACCCAGTATTTAGGGTACCCATAAAGTGACCCTAATTTTAACAACCAGCCACATAGCTAGCCGACATGACCATAAGCCCATCCGGGTGCGACGGCACAGCGCCATTCACAGCATGCAGCATCGAACCCTGCACCAGTGCAGATGTCCTACAACCCCACCCTAGGCCCATCAGTGCACGAACCTAGGGCTCTCAAGCTCCGAACGAAAAAAAACAGTTACAGTAGAATCCATATGGGAGTTAATAAGGGGTACCTTATTATTTTGGGGTCCTTATGATAAGGATCCTGCTATTTGGGGTACTTCATTAGGGTCCCCTACTTTCGGAAAACCCCAGATCGTACAACAAGCAAGATCCTCCTGAAAAGCCCGACATCCTCAACACCACAACCCTGAAGCGTGAAAGTCCAAACCCTCCACCCGTTCTGGTTTACATACGCAGGTCGCTGGGCTGCGAGCTTTTCTACACTCCCAAGACCACAAAACCCTAAACAGTTCATGAACCGCCCCTAATCTCCCAGGTACCTGCTATATAGGGTACTAGAGCCCGTAGGGCCCTATATAGTAGGCACCTAAGGGGTTAGGGAACCCTAAACCCTGAACAGCTGTTCAGGTTACGTGGTGCGTTGAAATCTAGGACTGGGGAGGTCAGGATCTATGTGGCTTGGGCTTCGGGGTCTCATTTTTGTTTGGTTTGGGGTTTAGGGTTTAGGGTTTAGGGTTTAGGGCTTATAGGGGTTATGGGGTTTGTAGGGTTTATAGGGTTT